TGCACAATATATATTGTGCATGTACTACTCTACTAAATGAAGAATAAATGACACTTACCTTTATTGAAGATGCAGCAATAACTGATGAGACACTGTGTCCTGGGAGTGCCTTTTCCTCCTGAGTACTGTAGGTCCTGTTTGGCATTTTCTTCCAGAACAGGCCTTATCACACTGTGTATGCCACTACAATTCTTAAATCTCTCAAACCAACCTTTGCTGGCTTTAAATTCACCAATATGAGCACTAGTTCCAGGCATTTTTCCCTGTTCACCTGGGTGTTAGTCGACTGGTGTGGGTTGCATCCTGGGAGACAAGATTAAGGACCCCAATGGAAATAAGTTAGACAGTCTTCAATGACACTGACTTTTTTGGGTTATCCTGGGTGGCAAATCCTCTGGGGTTAATTGTTTCTTGGTATTCTCAATAAGCCACACCAACAACGGTGCTACAGCAGCAGCAGCTGACAGTGATACAGCAGCAGCAGACGATGCTACAGCAGCAGCAGACGGTACTACAGCAGCAGCAGACGGTACTACAGCAGCAGCAGACGGTACTACAGCAGCAGCAGCAGCAGCTGACGGTGGTACAACAGCAGCAGCAGCTGACAGTGCTACAGCAGCAGCAGACGATGCTACAGCAGCAGCAGACGATGCTACAGCAGCAGCAGACGATGCTACAGCAGCAGCAGATGGTACTACAGCAGCAGCAGCAGCTGACGGTGGTACAACAGCAGCAGCAGCTGTACCACCAATAGTAGCGATGGTTGATTGGGGTTTATTATACAACCTGGCCAGCTCGGAGACACGCACTCCACTTTCATACTTATCAATGATCTTTTTCTTCATCTATATAGTAATTCTCACCCTTATTGCTGTAGGGTTGGCACTAGAAGCTTTCTTGGGGCCCATGGTCACTTATTTTCCAGAAAAAATCACCAAAAACACTGTAATAATACTAAATGTTCCGATTGTATGCTTGGATGTTACCGCGGAGGCTGGCTGGTAAACAATGCCACCGGCGGCACATGTGAGGCTGGCTAAGGGCGCACATTGGACGCGTCTCGGACGAAGAGCGGTGAGCGGGTTTTTGGGCGGTATGCGAGGCAAAATTTTTGCGATAAAAGCGAGCGGTATGTGGATTGAACGGTATGCGATGCGTACGGTATGCAGGGGTCCACTGTACCTGGAAGGTACTTGAGGGCTTGGTCCCAAATATGCACACTGCCATAACAACATACTAGAGTGAGAGATATGGGAGGAAGTAAAAAATAAACCCAGTGAGGAGCAGGGGTGCGGTGGGGACAATAAGGGAACACTGTATCAACATCTGGGGTCCCAGACTTTTCAACATCTTACCAGAAGATATCAGAAACACTGCTGGAACAAGTGTTGAAGCCTTCAAGAGGAAACTAGACAAGTATCTTCACCAGGTGCCAGATCAACCAGGCTGTGATGAATATGTGGGGCAGCGGGCCTCCAGCAGCAACAGCCTGGTTGACCAGGCGAGCACCAGACGAGCCTGGCCCATGGCCGGGCTCAGAGAGTAGATATACTCTCAAAATTCTTCAAAGGTATATCAAAGGTTCTGTCAGACGAGATAAAAAAAAAGAGAATACAACCATAAAAACCATTCAAAATTACTGCTAAGGGGTGGCTAATTGCTGAGAAGTGAACTCCAATATTTATGCTTAGATTTCTTTCATTTTTGGTGTATGTTAAGAAGCATCTTTCCATCATACATTGCCCAAGTTTCAGTAAGATAGTCCAACAAACAAATAAGATACAATTCCCGAGATCAAGAGCAAGAGCCCCTCATCAGTGTCAAGGAACCTGCCTTGAGGTCTGCTTGCTTATGGAAATTTTGCTCGCGTATGGAAGCAAAAAATCGACCCATCAACTGCTCGTATTTAGAAAAACTCGCACGTGGACACGCTCGCCAGTAGATGTTCCACTGTACCTGAATAAACTTACATGCTGTCTTCCCCACCACCTACACCATCTTCCCCACCACCCACACTATCTTCCTCACCACCCACACTATCTTCCTCACCACCCACACCATCTTTCCCACCACCCACGCTGTCTTTCCCACCACCTACGCTTTTCACTGTCTGTTCCTGATGTAAGGCCAAGGGATGTACTCCGAGATGTACTCACTGAAGAATATTCCTCTTCATTGTCACTACTAGAATTGTAATGAAGAGATTGGAAATCACATTCAGTATCACTATCATCAGCACTGCTCACATCTGAGTCCTGGACATGGGAAAGTATGAGTTTCCTCTTTCGCCATGGTACAACTGAACATGAACGAGATAGCCCAGCACCAGAGGTGGGAGGCTGATAGTTGTTTGGGTTTTCAGTACTATTTCTGGTATCCTTGGCATTGGTTTCGGCCACACTCATCAAAACCATGAAATACATCCTCATGACACTTCCATCTGTGTTAGAACTATCACTTTGGAAGGGAAGAGTCCCAGTTCACTGGGGAGTGAGGTATTCCTTATTGCTAGGCATGGTGAACAAGGTGTACTTAATTGGCACTCCCACACTGCACTGCGGCCTCTCCGATTTTTTTTTGTGCTGCGCACACTGAGCACACAGACCCAATCTTTTACATGTAGGGCTACCAGCTTTCTCCTGCCAGATTTGAAGCCGCTAGAATTTTGACGTAGTATTACGAGATCAACACTGGCTTGCAAGCCGTAATATTATAGGACCAACAGTGAAAGAGTTAAATCCTGAGTTCATAGTTATGTTGTAAAATGACCTCTTGTATTCAACAATTTATTCCCATGTAGTTGTGGTTACACCTCTTGAAACAAATTCAGAGATTGTTTAGAAGCAACACCAGATATAATCCAGGTAATACCCAGGTAAACTCCAGGTTACAGCAAACCACAAGTTGGCCCATTCTGGACCAGTATCAGGTCACAGGTGAGCAGAAACACAGCAAAAACCAGAATTAAAGTCAAGACAGTGGAAGACAAGGTCAGGTCTCGTTCTGTTGATAAGTACCATTTTATTCTGTACCGGTGTAGGCAGGCACTTAAGTGTTTGAACTGCTATTCATTGCTGTGATAGGTTTTTTCACAACTCTGAATGTATTGGCACTTGTATGTTTTGATAACTCCTTGATCTGTGGTTGTGTAAAAAAAATATTGTAAACATTGGTAAAAATGCAACCAGCACATTTGAGTCTAGAGACTGCAAAATTTCAGGATGGCTTTGAAAATTATCAAGAGTCAGGACCCTGGGAAATCTTTAATGTTTTTTTTTTTTTTTTTTTTTTTTTTTTTTTTTTTTTTTTTTTTTTTTTTTTTTTAGGCACATCTTCATATACATACTGTAGAAATGTAAAAATAAAACAATTCTGGAACCAGTAAACAAATGACAATCAGTCATCATCCATGTTGCTTTGTTAGACTGGCAGATAGCAGGCAAAGTGGCTTTTTTATTTTTTTTTAATTCTTTTAAAGCACATAGAGTCTGTGAGCAATGAATTATTATAAGCTTCCAACTGAAGTCACCCATTTCATTAGTACAAAGAACTAAACTTAAATGATCCTTAGCTGCCTTGAACAGAGATAAAAATTTCTTTTGTCTGTTGTAAGTTCTTAACGATATTCTGTTAGCATAACCTTAGTGCATCAGCATTAAACACACAATCAGCAGTATAACCCTTAGAAATAATTTTAGTAAACTCAGTAGGGAAATTTTATTATGCATTATAAATAGCTGATGCCCTCACTACTAAACCTTATGTATTCAACTTCTCTGATTAAATCCATCAAGCTAACCAACACCAAATTCTAAAACTATTCAACACTTGTGAAGTGTTTCCTTTCATCTCAGTCAAATAATTGGTGCACCTTTCTTTGTTTTTCCTCAGTCCACAGCATCAGTAACTGTTCTTTCTGGATTGCTTGCTGCACAATCCTTTATTTTCTTCTCATTGTTTCCAGTAGTATGAATAATTGATTTTCATTAATCAAAGGCACTGGCAGTCTGCATCGTACATGCGCCATCTCGGAGCATATCTAATGTTTCAATTTTCTTAGAAATTTTAAAGTTTCTTGCTTAACCTTCACCATCATTAGTATTTATTTTGGGTGCCATATTTAATATCCAGAGATGAGATGGGGTAATGATACTATCCAAAATCATTACTCATATTGAGCTAGTCATGCAATTCTTTCAGAAATCAGCTGTAGGTGGTCTGGGTGGGATGGTTAGATATGCTTCACCCCCAAAAAATGGGCTCACTTCTCAGGTCCAAGTTGGCACAGAGAGGAAATTACCCACTACATAGCTACCCAAGGTTTCATGTGTCATTCACAATTCCATCACAATGATAATGTGATCAACAAGGGCATTAACAATGTAAATTAAATTACAGTTGCAGTTTTTCAGTCACGTTGAATATGCATTTCAGGAGTCGTGTAATCCAAAGGTCTACTGTCTTAAATTTCTGTAAATTAGAAGCATTGAGAAGGCAAAGTATTGTACAGATATATATACTGGAAAAGTGAGTTTAGGAGAGAAGAAAATCTGTTTAGCATGTTTGTGCAAATACTTTCCTCTTTCAGTGTTACCTTAGATGCTATAATCCAAGATGGAACAAAACATCACATAGTTTTCATTCCAGTTTGTAGGCTTGTGATTTGTTACATCCAAGGCATTATGACATTTATTCAACATTTAAAAGATAAATTAGCAGTAATATGTTTAGAATATTTTGTATATAGCATTCAGTGTAATTATTAATGTCTACCTTTTAAATAAAAGCATATTTTCCTTAAACAAATTATTTTATAATATTGCATTGTCTCACTTTTTTTAGAATTACTACAAACAACTGGGAATGACTTGTACTATAGTGATATAACCACAAGTGCTCTAATAGCTATTGGCCTGCTTGTAATATATATTCTAAAATTATAAATTATTAATCAAAATACTGTGATCTTTGATAAGGAAAATATGGTTAGTGGATGAGAACTTTAGATCAATTTTGCTACTTAGTACTGTATTGCTATACTTATTCAATTTATGAATTATCGAAGGTACTAGTAAAGTTATATTTGTCCCTCTCAGATCTCGTCTGTACTATAGAGCGGCTGCTAAACATGAAACTGATCGTGAAAAATTATTACTCTGCTATCAAGTCAACCAACAAATACAGCAAGGCAAATTCCCAATCACTCGTGAGCTTGCACTTGAACTGGCTACACTTATGGCTCAAGTGAGTTACATACACCCTAATCCAAATTATATCTATATTCAGATACTTGCAGTACTGTATAAGGAATGGTAACCATGAAACATATATTGATACAAATGTATTTGCTTTCCATAATTTCATAATTTGCCATTCACAGCCTTTGAATACTTCCAGCATTATCATTTCTGATCAAGATATGGTTTTCAGCAGGATATGATTTTCCTGCAGGATATGTCTTTCAGCATTACGGTTTGTCACTCCTGGTTGTAACCCTCAACAGTCGTCTAACAAACCGGCCGTATCCCACCAAGGCAGGGTGGCCCAAAAAGAAAAACAAGAGTTTCTCTTTTTAAATTTAGTAATTTATACAGGAGAATGGATTACTAGCCCCTTGCTCCCGGCATTTTAGTCACGTCTTACAACACGCATGGCTTACGGAGGAAGAATTCTGTTTCACTTCCCCATGGAAATAAGAGGAAATAAACAAGAACTAGAAAGAAAATAGAAGAAAACCCAGAGGGGTGTGTATATATATGCTTGTACATGCATGTGTAGTGTGACCTAAGTGTAAGTAGAAGTAGCAAGACATACCTGAAATCTTGCATGTTTATGAAACAGACAAAAGACACCAGCAATCCTACCATCCTGTAAAACAAATACAGGCTTCCATTTTACACTCACTTGGCAGGACGGTTGTACCTCCCTGGGTGGCTGATGTCTACCAACCTACTACTTAAACATAAAAATTATAAAAAATAACATAAAAATGAGAAAAAATGGTATATCGGCAATACTTCCTCAAGCTGCAGGACTCGATGTTGCTGTCAGGTGAGCTTTAAGTGCCAACTTTGCAGCCTCATATCTCAGTAAGTTTTTATTTTTTTTTTATTTTAATCCTATTACACTTAGAAATTTTTTCTCTGTATTTCATTGAAAAAAAAAATTATTTTTCAAAATATTCGAGGCACTGGGGGAGATAACGTATATAAACGTTTGGACCATTTATGGGTTAGGATAGATACAATACAATACAATTTTTAATTCTTTGCAAGTTTACATTGAGATTCTGTAATTACAATAATGAGTTGCAGTGCAAAGAGAGCCACTATCATGCCATGGCATTATGGGCAGACTAAATAATGGCTTACAAACTACTTAATACTAGAGAAATTGATCATAGTAAGTTAGTCAAGTTACAACCAAGTTATAATCTGGGGATATTAAATTGGGACAATTTGAAAGTACAGTGGAACCTCGGCTGTTCCGTGGACTTGTTTGTATTCTGATTTGTTCTTATTCTGGGTCAATTTTCCTTGTTTAAATTAATTGAAATGCAATTAATTCGTTCCAGCTGAATTCCTGCTTTAAGGAGGCATGACAAAATAATGCTAATATCAATTCTATGGCTTATTTATCTGTCACAATTCATCTAATATGACATAATAAACAATATAAATAAAATAAAAACCTGATATACACTTTTAGAATGAATAAAATATGTCATTACGTGGAGAGCAGAGGGAGGAGGATTGTGGTCGCGAGAGTGGTCGCACATTCTCCCTATGAAAACGTCAAGAGGTGTTATAAGAGAAAACAGAGTTTGTGTGGCTAACTGAATTAGATCTGGTGTACATACGACATTTACATACCTTGGAGAAGAAATGTAGAATGGCATATCCTGTCAGGAGTTCACACTTTTCTTAAGAACTGCTTTGTACAATTTTTATGTTTATCTCACTACACTATGTATCTTATGTGAGCTGTTTCTCCGTCACCCATGTCAACACCAGCTTTTCCATCTTTTCATTGACAGAGGTCCACTGCTTAGAAATTACCGTAACGCCCTTTGCTGGTGCTATAGCCTTTATAGACTCCTTCTGCTTTAGTATCATACATATAGTAGAGGGGCTATGCTTGTACTCACTCGCCAAGTTCTGTACTTACCAATGATTTCTTGCTTTAACTCCGTGCAAATCATCCTCTTTTTCTTCTTGGTACTGTCCTTTGCACTTACTTTCTTAGGACCCATGGTTAGAAGAAAGAAATCTGGTGAATTTATTGCTCGAAACTTAAGGAAATCATGAGAATTCCTTGGACCGCGAGGGTAGCTTCATAAGCACATGTGCACTGGTGAGCATTGTGGTGGTGGTGTTGAACTAAATTATACATAGTACGTACATAGTATTAATATTATGATTATTTTTTTTTTCAACAAACCGGCCATATCCCACCAAGGCAGGGTGGGCCAAAAAGAAAAACGAAAGTTTCTCTTTTTAAATTTAGTAATTTATACAGAAGAAGGGGTTACTAGCCTCTTGCTCCCAGCATTTTAGTTGCCTCTTATGACATGCATGTTTTATGGAGGAAGGATTCTCTTTCACGTCCCCATGGAGATGAAAGGAAAATATATAAGAACAAGAACTATTAAGAAAAATAGAAGAAAACTCATGTGAGTCTGTTTACATATACATGTACATGCAAGTGTAGTGTGACCTAAATTTAAATAGAAGTAATATGATGTACCTGTTATCCTACATATTTATGAGACAGGGAAAAGACACCAGGAATCCTACCATTATGTAAAACAATAACAGGTTTCCTTTTCACACTCATTTGGCAGGATGGTAGTACCTCCCTGGGTGGTTGCTGTCTACTAGCCTACTACCTTACTTAATTATTCTATATAATTTAAAGATGAGGTAAAGAGAGTAGTAAGAGAGAAAAGGTTAGCATGTGAGAGGTTTTTACAAAGTAGAAGTGACATAAAGAGGGAGGAGTATGTGGAGAGAAAAAGAGAGGTTAAGAGAGTGGTGAAGGAATATGAAAGGGGAGCAAATGAGAGAGTGGGTGAGAGAGCATGAATAGTTCCTTTATATAAAGTCATATGGGACAAAAGAGAGAGCAAAAATTATAGGGGAGGAATAAGCCTGTTGAGTATATCTGGTAAGGTATATGATAGAGTTATTACTGAAAGAATTAAGAGTAAGACAGGGATCAGGATTGCAGATGAACGAGGTGGTTTTAGAAGGGTAGCAGATGTGTAGACCAAATGTTTACAGTGAAGCATATACATGAACAATATCTAGAAAAGGGTTAAGAGGTTTTTGTTGTATTTATGGATTTGGAAAAGGCATATGATGGAGTGGATCTGTATCTGTCTATATCTGTCTGTCTATATCACTGTCTATTTGTATCTCTGTCTCTCACATGTACTCATAAATAAAATTATTATACATAATGTAAATTACCTAGGATAACCCAAAAATTCCAGGCCAAGTGCTATACAGTGTTTGTAGATATAAGACATAAATAAACATGATGCAAGTAATAGCAGTGTCACTTGCTCAGCAATCAGGGAGCGGCCCATACACCACAACCCAAGAGGTTTACTAGCTGCTCCCTGAGACAGAGACAAGTAGATGGAAAGACAGACACACAGGCAGACAGAAAGATAAGCAGAACTAGACAGACAGATAAGCAGAGCTAGGCAGACAGACAGATGTACAGATAGACTGACAGACATACAGAGACATGTTTGTGTGCAAGAGTAAAAACATATAAAGGCAAGGTTCCCCCCTCCAGCAGCGCACATTCATGTCACTGTTATCTGATGCTGTCATAACACAATTATTCAAGGAGCTCATATTACACTCCAGGCGCACACAAAAGACAGAAAGACAGATAAGCTGAACTGGACGGACAGATAAGCAGAACTAGGCGGAGAGACAGACAGACAGATAGATGTACAGATAGACAGGTGGACAGATAGTCAGGCAAACAGATAGACTGATGGACATACATACAAAGACATATTTGTGTGCAAGAGTAAAAACATATAAAGGCAAGGTTCCCTCCAGCAGGGCACATTGACCCTTGTCATAACACCATGCTTCAAGGAGTTTCATACTCCAGCATGTCTAAAACATTGCTGGGACCTATAAATACTTTGTATATATTTCTAGACAATAGTAAAATGACCAGGGCAGGTGAAAATTTGACCTGTCAGTGTAATTGTCACAATTTGAGTACTATTTCAGTACATAATATTAGTGTCAGAACAAAGATTGGCTATGAAATCACAAGAACTATTATAAATTGTAATTATCAGAACTTAAAAATTATTTTTTTTTTATTATCACACTGGCCGATTCCCACCAAGGCAGGGTGGCCCGAAAAAGAAAAACTTTCACCATCATTCACTCCATCACTGTCTTGCCAGAAGGGTGCTTTACACTACAGTTTTTAAACTGCAACATTAACACCCCTCCTTCAGAGTGCAGGCACTGTACTTCCCATCTCCAGGACTCAAGTCCGGCCTGCCGGTTTCCCTGAATCCCTTCATAAATGTTACTTTGCTCACACTCCAACAGCACGTCAAGTATTAAAAACCATTTGTCTCCATTCACTCCTATCAAACACGCTCACGCATGCCTGCTGGAAGTCCAAGCCCCTCGCACACAAAACTTCCTTTACCCCCTCCCTCCAACCTTTCCTAGGCCGACCCCTACCCCGCCTTCCTTCCACTACAGACTGATACACTCTTGAAGTCATTCTGTTTCGCTCCATTCTCTCTACATGTCCGAACCACCTCAACAACCCTTCCTCAGCCCTCTGGACAACAGTTTTGGTAATCCCGCACCTCCTCCTAACTTCCAAACTACGAATTCTCTGCATTATATTCACACCACACATTGCCCTCAGACATGACATCTCCACTTAAAAATTATATAAATTAAAATAAAAATGAGGAGAAAAGGCAAATCGGCAACACTTCTGCAAGCGGCAGGACTGGATGTTGCCGTCAGGTGAGCATCCAGAGCCAACTTCACGGTCTTATATCTCAGTAAGTACTGGTCCTAAAATTTTTTTTTTTTGGTCTTATACCACACTGAAAAAAACCCCTCTTCAATTTTAAAAACGGAAAACAATTTTTTTATTTTTCATAATATTCGGAGCGCCAGGCAGGTGAACGTAGATTTATGTTTGGACAGTTTAAGGGTTAATGGCCCAAGCCAGGCTGAAACATCGTCATAAGTTTTGGTCTCCTACATGCAGGTTATTTGTGTAAAGACTGGTAATTTTTAAGTTTCAATCAGTAGCTAAATGTCATTAATAAGTGTGAATGTTTGAACTCTGATTGTTAATAAATTCGTGCCCCCTCACTTTTGAACATGGCCATCATCCATTCTGTTTAAATTTTATTGATTTCATTATTTTTCTACAGATTGACATGGGCGAGGTGAACAGTGAAAGATCAAGAGGGTCTGGTTCATCTGGTCCTTCTAGTGCTCACATTCAGCAAGCTTTCACCAAGTTCTACCCAGCAAGATATCGTGAAGATCTCAATGAAGAGGAAACAAAGTAAGTGGCTTCACTGTTTTCAAGGAATTTGGTGAAGTGAAGGAAGTAGATAGGAAATACATAGTGTATTCAAATGCTCAACAGCACTGGTGAGAATGATTGACCAGTGGAAGTAAGTCATGCTAAACAGTTATTTGGTAAAGGAGTTGCAGAAGACTTGTTCTGTACCAAGATACCATGGTGTTGCTGTGTCAGACAAGGATCACATTGATGGTATGCAGTATTGACAAATTGAAAAATAAGATACATATGCAACACTTTAGTATCTTTAGTGACAAAATGTTTTGACAACATAAAAGGCTTCTTCAGTTGAATACAAGTAAATATAACACCGGAGACAGTAGAAGCGGTTTCGATGTGAACTGTTTAGCATGGCTTACTTTCACTAGTGGGCCATGCATACTTGTGGCATCACCTCCAGCTGCTTCACTTCACTTTTGCTCTAGTATATACGATCTGGCCTCATACCTGTGCTTTAAGCTTAAGGGACTGATCACCTCAGAACAACTACTTCTACTGTCTTCATTGTTATATTCACCCATATTCAACCGAGGAAGCCTGTAGTACAGGCAAAACTTTTCAACTGTAAAGATACCCAAATGTTGTCTTGTGTGGACATGTCATGGAGATGGCATGTGTTTGGTGTTAGAGAATCAACAATTTGGTCAAATCAGGACAATTAGGCAAAGATAAAGGCTTGTGCATTTGAGTACTCCTCAGTGTGACAATGAAAAGAATGTGGAATAGGCCATTACATTTAAATAAATAAAACAGAAAATTTACCTAATGTGTAGATTGAAAAACAGAGAAAAGTGTTCCACACGATGGCCATATTATTAAGGAAGCAGTCTTATTATACAATAAGGCTGTGTGAGGAGTAAATATAGGCCAAAAATGAGTGTACATTTAGTTTGGATGGATTAACAGATTTAGAATGGTGCAGTGGTTTTCATAATACATAATTCAGTGGGGAGAGTGCCTCTGCCAACCACGCTGCCACAAAATAAGTTCCTGGCCGAGCTAGCTAGCGTTTCCTCTGAAGGTGACTACAAACCTGAGCAGGTGTGTAACCCTTTCAGGGTTGGTTCCATAAAATTACAGCTTTGAAGCCAGGGTCAGTTCCGTAAAACTATGCCAAAATTTTAGTGGCTACCAGTCTTGTGGGAGAAAGCTGGTAGGCCTACATATGAGAGAATGGGTCTGCATGGTCAGTGTGCACAGTATAAAAAAAATCCTGCAGCACCCAGTGCTTATTGAGAAAAAAAACTGCAGCTGTGTTTCTGGTGTAAAAAAGTGACCTTGCTGTGTATTTTCGTATGGTTTTTCAGTTGTATTCTCGGTTTCTTGGTCTCATTTGATAGAATGGAAGCTATTATTACAGAAATAGAGAAGATTTTGAATAGTTTACAGACTAAAAGTAATAGCTTGAAATTGAGCTCAAAGTAGCGGAAATGTTAAATTTTTGCTGAGGCATTCTTCCCCTCTCTCTTCCTCACTGAATGAGTAACACAGGCAGACTGAGTCACAAACCTATCACCAGCTGCATCCCGTGGGCAGGGGGACATGTCTGCTACAGATGATTTCCAAGTGGATGTACGAAAACGGGGAAAATTTCACTGAAAAAAGTGGTTGAAAACTGAATTTTATGATAACCGGACAGGACAAAAACCGGGGTTCCATTGTAGTTGAAATAGGTAAATGAGCAGTTTCTTATACTCATTTGATAGAATAAAAGGAGTTCTAGCTAAATAGCTATAAGTTTGGTCAACTGGAACAATGGACTTGGCCCAAAATAGGGCTGAAAATGGGCAAAATCGACCCTGCATAAATATCACCAAGACCACTAACTTTGCGAGAGCATAATTCTGTAAGTTTTCCATCAAATGTTGTGCTTTTTATTTCATTACCTTTAGAAAAAGATTCTGTCATTTCATAAGAAAAAAATATTTTTTTTTTAATTCTTCGACCTTGGGAGCAAAATTTACAAGCAGGAGTCTTGACCCTCAAAGGATTAAAGCTGATGAGGTGGATTTGTTCTGGAAAAAGCTATCTAGAGCATTCATCAGCAAACAAGAAAACTACTGCTGGATTATTCCGTTCCAGAGAGAGTGACTTATCCCGAATCTGACTTATTCCAAATTAATTTTCCCCATAAGAAATAATGGAAATCCAGTTAATCTGTTCCAGACACCCAAAAGTAGTAATTTTTTTATGTGAAATACAGTGGACCCCTGACCTACGATGACCTCAACCTATGATAAAACCGACCTACGATGCTTGTCAGAGTAAAAATTTGACCCCGACCTACGGTGAAAAACAACTTGCATCATTTGTCCCATACGTCCCATATGCAGTGTGCCAATGTTTACAAGCCAGTGCTGTCCCTCCCACGCATACATTCAGAACATTTTGTATTATTCCAGTGTTTTTAGTGCTTGTAACTGCTAAATAAGCCACCATGGGCCCCAAGAAAGCTTCTAGTGCCAACCCAGTGGTAAAAAGGGTGAAAATTACTATTGAAATGAAGAAAGAGATAATAAGTTTGAAAGTGGAGTACGTGCCTCTTGAGCTGGCCAGGTTGTACAACAAACCCCAGTCAAACATCGCTACTATCCTGGCCAACAAAAAGGCAATCAAGGAAGCTGTTGTTGCGAAAGTTGCAAGTACGTATCTGTAAGAAACACAGATCGCAAGTACTCGAAGATGTTGAGAGACTGTTATTGGTGTGGATAAACGAAAAATGGATATCGGGAGATAGCATCTCTTAAGCGATCATATGTGAAAAGGCAAGGCAGTTGCATGACGATTTAATTAAAAAAAATGCCTGTGACTAGTGGTGGTGTTATTGAATTTAAGGCCAGCAAAGGTTGGTTTGAGAGATTTAAGAATCGTAGTGGCATACATAGTGTGATAAGGCATGGTGAGGCTGCCAGTTCGAACCAAAAAGCGGCTGAAAAATGTGTGCAGGAATTCCAGGGATGGGTATGGGGTGCATAAAGATATTAAACTAAAGTGTGTGTGTGTGTGTGTGTGTGTGTGTGTGTGTGGTGTGTGTGTGTGTGTGTGTGTGTGTGTGTGTGGTGTGTGTGACTCAACAATCAATATTTGCACCAATAACTCATTACAGTTGTGACCGGGTGTGGAAGTGTGAATTGCTCATTACTCTATAATTTGTTCATGATTGTAGCCAAAGTATAAACGTAAGTAACCATTCTACAGAATTCATTACCTTTGTAACTTGTGAGCTCATTACCTTTGTACCTAGTTCAGCTATCAAAACTTTGGGGGCCCAGTCCCTGGACCCATTACGTACCTCTGTAATCTGTAAATACCTTTGTAACTTGTCATGATTGTGACCAGACTTACCTGGAGTTCATTACCTTTGTAAATTGTGAGTTCATTACCTTTGTAAATTGTGAGTTCATTACCTTTGTAAATTGTGAGTTCATTACCTCTGTAACTTGCTCAGCTATCAAAACTTTGGAGTCCAGTCCCTGGACCAATTATGTACCTCTGTAATCTTTTGACTACCGCCCACAGGATGGGTATGGGGTGCATAATAAACATATTAAACTAAACTAACATAGAGGCTGAGGGATTGAAACCCCAACAAGTGTTTAATTGTGACGAAACAGACCTGTTTTGGAAGAAAATGCCAAACAGGACCTACATTACACAGGAGGAAGAAGCACTGCCAGGACACAAGCGTATGAAAGACAGGCTAACCTTAATGTTGTGTAGTAATGCTAGTGGTGATTGCAGAGTGAACCCTCTACTCATGTACCACTCTGAAACTCAGTGTGTTCAGGAAAAACAATGTTATCAAGGCTAATTTGTGTGTGATGTGGAGGGCAAACAGTAAGGCATGGGTCACTAGGGACTTTTTTTATGACTGGTTTTACCATGTGTTTGGCCCCACTGTGAAAAATTACCTCCTGGAAAATAAATTGGAGCTTAAGTGCCTCCTGATATTAGGCAGTGCTCTTGGTCATCCTTCAGACTTGGCAGAGCAAATTTTGGGGGACTTGAGTTTTATCAAAGTCAAGTTCCTGCCTCCTAATACCACTCATCTCCTCCAGCCCATGGACCAGCAGGTCATTTCAAATTTCAAAAAACTGTACACCAAAGCAATGTTTCAAAAGTGCTTTGAAGTGACCTCAGACACTCGATTGACCCTAAGAGAGTTTTGGAAAGATCACTTTAGTATCCTCAGTTGTGTAAACCTTATAGGTAAGGCTTGGGAGGGAGTGACTAAGAGGACCTTGAACTCAGCTTGGAGGAAACTGTGGCCAGAATGTGTAGAAGAGAGGGATTTTGAATGGTTTGGGGCTAACCCTGAGGAGCCTATACCAGTTGTGGAATCTGTTGTGGCACTGGGGAAGTCCATGGGGTTGGAGGTTAGTGGGGAGGATGTGGAAGAGTTGGTGGAGGACAACGATGAAGAACTAACCACTGATGAGCTGCAAGAGCATCTGCAACAGCAAGAGACCACAACTGAGGAAATTGCTTCAGAGGAGGGGAGAGAGAAATTGAGGAAGTTGCCTTCTTCAAAGATTAAGGAAATGTGTGAAAAGTGGGTTGAACTGCAAACCTTTATGGAAGAAAATCACCCTGACACAGCTATTGCAAGCCGTACTGGTGATTTTTACAAAGACAATGTTGTGAACCACTTTAGGAAAATCTTAAAGGAATTTGAGGTACAGAGCTCTGTGGACAGAGTTTTGGTGCGACAGGGGTCCAGTGAATCTCGAGTTGTTCCCAGTGGCATTAAAAGAAGAAGGGAAGTAACCCCAGAAAAGGATTTGTTACCTAAAATCCTTATGGAAGGGGATTCCCCTTCCAAAAAATAACACCATCATCTCCCCTCCTCCCATCCTATCACTCATCACCACATCTGCAATAAAGGTAAGTGTCATTTATTCTTCATTACACAATATTATATATTGTGCATGTATCCTTCTTTTTGTGAGTAGGAAAATGTATATTTCATGTGGTAAATT